GGTGGAGGATACTTGGTATAGCCGCCAAGACGACTGAGGCTGTGGCTTCCGGTGGACATTCAACACATTCAGCTGACGCTGACCCATACAGATGATTTTGAAAGAGGTCATACCTCCAAAACTCAACGGCAAGCGCCTCTGCATGCCTCTGCCAGTCCCAGCAAGCTCCAAAACCCAAGCATCCTTATGTTTGACTTCGACGCTTCGTCAGTTGCGAGACCACTGAACAGGTTGGCTAGAAAGGTTTCTCGCAGGGTTGCCTGCATAGGCTAGACTCAGTGAGCCTGCTCAGCCTGTGAAGGTTGCCAGCCCAGCATGTGCTCATCTCAACACGTTCTGGGAGCGAACGTACCTCATGATGCGGGGGTATTGCCTCGGCAGGATCTGCGTGTCGCCGCTGCAATAGGGATCTTTTAGTGCAGGCGACGTTTGCACTATGCCGAGGCCTCCAGAGTCCTCAAAAGCATTCTTCAAGATCCCAACGTGTTGGAGCTTCGCTGCGATGAGTTTCGAACAGAGCAGGGCTCGAACGCCTCTATCTCCGAGTTTGGCCGCCCGGCTGCGCCCCAGAGCCTCCAGTCCCAAGTCCAAGCAACTAGTCGGTGCCGCCAAATTTGGGGCCATCACTTCGCAAGATCGTGTTGCTTTCTATAGCACCATCTGAGTTGCTTGACAGGGTTTTCAGGGTTTCTAGACCGGTCTTGCTGATTCAGTCGTGAGCGACTGGGTTCCGTGGCATGTGCTGCCGTGCAGTCGCTTGGACGGGAACGGCCGCAGCTGAGGCCCCAAACCCCCAAACCCCATACCCCGAACCCCCAGATCTCAGTCACCCAAAACCGGGTGCTTCTGGGCGAGCGAGCCACTTGCGAGCCACTCACAAGCCACTCACGAGCCACTCCCTCCCTCTCCTATCTCACCCCTCCCTACCGGCCACGGCCGGCCACGGTACCGCTCCACACACTCTTTGTTTGTGGACTCTGCTTGCTGGCGGCACCGAGCCACCAACGACATCAAATTTCACCAGCGTGCGACATCGAACTGTGCTTCAAGAATGTGCCGAAAGACAGCTGCCGAATCAAGTCTCTCACGAGTTACTTTACTGCCCTCATCAGCGAATGCATTGGTGCACCCGTTCTGTTTTCAGCCTCACTAGTAACTACTAGTACCGTCAGATGAGGTAGGCCCCGTCCTTCCTTATGTGCTTCTGATTTGCTTATCCCGAAGCTTGTTCTGACATGCCACTCTCCTAAGACACTCTTGGGCGCGACCTAAGTCGCTCTCAAGACAATGGCACGACGTTTGCTGGCACTAGCTTGGTTCCTTGACAAAGTGAAGGGCTTCCACAGGCTGCTGAAAGCTTGATCTGCAGGCCAAGACTGGTTCATTCTCCGAAACTTTCTGGGCCTTGATGCGAAGGGCATTTACGTGGATGTCGGGGCATCTCTTCCCTTTGACTATAGCAACACGGTGCCTTAGTTGTTTTGATGAAGATCTACAGTTGCGTTCGTGTGGCTTTACAGCAAGCTTATTAAGCCGGATTTAGTGCATCTAGGGCTTCCAGGTAGGCATCCTCATGTCTTTGTTCATTCTCACGTCTTGTTCTTTGTGCGACTTAGGTGATGCTGGACCGTTGCCTTGGCTGGCAGGGGCTTTGCGTTGAGCCCAACCCTCAACTTAGCTTTATCCTCGAGGCCGTGGGCCGTCTGACTCCAATCATCTGTTATCACCTCTGAAGACACTGCATTCATGCCGCAGGCTTACCGATCCTGCCAAGTCTTTACGAGCTCTGACTGCACTGCTGCAAACTAAAGCGGCGCATAGGCGCGCCTTTTGGTCCATGCGAAAGTCCTGTGAGGAATTGCGTTGACGAGGAGTCCTGCATCTTGCATAGTTTCCCATTAGACATGGCTCGGAGATGTTCGAGCCACAGGCTGGCCTCACTGGGCGGCCCTTTGCTGACCGGGATGGCAAAGTGGAGTTCCATGCGGACTGGGGCAACCATCTATCCGAATCTATCCGAATCTTACCGCTATCTTTACTGTACTCTGTGCTTTGCCAACAAGTCTCACTGCTGAAAGACTTGTCATTCAAGATCGTATTGTACTTGCGAGCAACCTGACCGACCCCAAGCCCCAGTCGGCCTTGCAGACGAGAGGACTGCTTGACGCTGACCGAGATTTTACGTGAAGGTGGGTTGTCTGGCCGGCGCATCGACCTGCTCAGCATCGACGTCGAACATCAGGTCGGGTATAAACAAGATCGTGCAGGGTGTAGAAAATTGAAAAGTTGGAGACTGGATGCACCTATCATCGCAGAACAGAGCATTGTTCGCGTGCCAGGAGTTGGCAGTCTTGAGGGGGCTGTCCTTCGAAGAGTTTGATATCCGCATTATCGCAGGGGGCCGAAGAAACAGACACCGAGCAGGAAGAGCAAGAGTGTGTTGGAGCCAAGTGTCCAAGGTCGTTGAAGTGACACGAGGAGCTCGATGGCTGGAGGCTTCCTAGATGCGCATCCTTGAGTAGCGGGCCTTCATTCTTGAGCCTTTCCAGGTGGACTCAATCCTGTTGCCGAAGGAGACTTTGCAAGCTGTACGAGATAACGGACTGTTTTGGCGTGCTCGCATTGTGTTTGCCTTTGGCCGCTGTGGTTCGGTCGCAGGGATATGCCAAAGTCGCAGTGCTCGGACGAGATGTCGTCTACGTCAGGCTAGAGGAGACCCAATCCGATTTTTCTGTTTGTTTGTGGGTTCCGTAGACTCAAAGTCCAAATTGACTTGTGCTGAAGGTGATGGTGCCGTTGTCACACATTACAGTGATCATTATGATTGGCCAGACTCGAATTTCACGGATCCTGTCGATGGTCAGTACTCCTGAAAGGAGCTGCAGCATCAAGGAGATGCGACTTGACGCTCATGACTATGTTTTATGCTTAGTAGCTGCATTCAAGCGTCGTCCCTTTTGTCACTGACTGAGGACTGGCCCCTCTTCGGCAAGCTGGGCTCTGCGAAGGCGTGCCTCCACCAATCAAACACATCTGGAAGCGAGCCTCTGCTTTGCCAAGGCCACCTTGCCACCTGGATGGGCTGAGTTTCATCAACGTGTGCTGGACGAGGAGATGGAGGAGGACCGCACAGCACACAGCACGCTGCTTCGTGATGCAGCGTGCGTGCACTAGGTGGTGTTGCAGCACGTGCCCCAATGGTTGAGATGCTGGCTGCCAGGGCCGTGATTGTAAAACAGGAAGGCCCAAGCATTCCCTGGGCAGGCGCGTTTCAGAAGCGGCTCTCGAAATGAGGTGGAAGAAGCCATCATTCCAGAACCACCCTTCCGCTATCAAACTGCCGGCACAGATGGTCCAACTGTAGAATGAAACTTAGGCCTCAGGCCCACTCGGCGTTAGAACTCCGTTGCTAGTTGTGCTGGGGCACTGGCCCGGGCGCCAACCGATGTAACCGCGAGGGCCAACTGTACCACAGCTTTGCAATGTCTGCTTCGGCGAACGTCGGCAACAAGGCCCATGTGCTTGTTTCCTGTGTTGCTTTCTGTTTGACCGATGCCTTCCGTTCTCGCTTCCGTTCCGTTTTCCGTTTGTTTGTCCGTTTCCATTCGAGGTTCCGTTGTCGATTTCGCTTTCGTGCAGCTTTCCCTTTCCCTTGGTGGTGTTTTCGCTTCTTTGCAGCTTTGTAATTGCAGCTTTGTAAACCATGCTGACGCTCAGGCGCAAGGCCTCGGCCAGCGGCTCCAGTAGGGCCTGGAATGGGCTGAGCTTCCGAGAAGAAAAGCCAACTCAGAACCGGAAGCGCCAAGCCCGGTATCTACAAAACATCCAAAACGGAACGGGATGGAACGGGAACGAAACGACCTGGCACAAAATCCAACGCCTTGCCGGGGGTTCCGTTTCGAGCATTTCACCGGCCGTGGTCGGCCCAAGGCCCAGGCCCAGCCACAAACGGAGTGCAGGGAAAAACATCACAAAATGGTCAAATTCCAGCAGGATGTCGTAGGCCAGTGCGTGCACGGAATGGAGATTCAACTGAGAATGTTGCCTGGGGACACAAGGCACAGCGCCAATTACATTGCGCTGGGTGGTGCTGGCACACCAACTTGCACCCTGCTCAGCACTCCACGTGTCGCTCCCACTCAAAACTAAAGAGAGCCGCGCGGAACACCTAGCAGTCTGTACTGTACTTGCAGCATAAGGAGTCCCATTCGCATAGGGATTACGGGAGAGGTCACAGGTGGAATGGCTACTCGCAGCGTGTGGTCCATAGCACCTGCTTTTCTCTAGCGTTAACAACGAGGCTGTAGCATCGGCTGTTGAGGAGATGCGGCAGGAGCGCCATGCGTTCTATGCAGGTCTGAGGCGCACAAAGCCTGCGCCGCTGGATCCAGCCTAGAGCCTAGTGGCTGCTCGAAATGAGTCCCGCACAGGTTTGCAGGCGTTTGAAGTATTCGACCCCTTGACTTGTTTCTGCTGGCAGCTTTTTGTGCATTTCTGCCAGGTTGGATAAAGGAAGCGGTGAACAACAGTTTGGAAGGGCAGTTGCAGAGTCCTCAAGTTCTGAGCGGCAAATCCGACATTTCTTGCTTTTTTGGCTAGTCTTTAGACTTTAGGCTATTTGAAGCAGTGCTTCTAAGGAAAGAATTGTTGCAGGATGCAGGCCAGCATAAAGGAGCATGTTTAGATGCATGAGGGCCTCAAGAAAGGTTAGGCAAAAGTTAAAGTTAACAGTTAAAGGAAGAACAATCAGAACGGTCCGGAAAATCACCGGGTATCGAAACCCGAGCTACAGGCATTGTAGCAAATGCTGTCTTTTGATAACGCGATGGAAGCGGGCTGACCGGGATGCTGATCGCACACAGGGCTGCATGCTAGCGCAGGGTCCTTCAGCTGTCTTGCCGGTCAGCTCTTCGGAGGCATTCGGAGGCTGCGTGTGGCATTTCCTTTTGGCTTGAAGCTCCGCGGCTCTTTTGGGGTGGGTGGATCCCTCCGCTGAAGCCATGGGTGCAAAGGCTGGAGATGGAGTAAAGATGGCTCGTTGTGGGAGCGATGAAGCGACCATGACAGGCCAAGATGCATGCTGCAGGAGGCAATTTTGGATTGGACCCTGCATTTGTTTCGGATTTCCGCTGGCAGAAAGCATAGTTCTCTTGTCGTAAGGGAATCACGGCTTGGGGATGCTTCTGCAGCGGCAGGCAGCACAAGCTTGATTGGAGACAACATCGGACAGATACTTATGGCGTTGCTCTCAAGAAACTCAAGGAGTTCAGAAGCAGAAGCCCGCTGCTTCCGACATCTTCTGTTTAGGTGCTGTTCGGAGCATATTTTGCAGTCGCACATCGCTGGTGCCGGCAGAGCCTTCTGCTGGCGACACTTGCTCGGGTCCCAGCTTGGACCGCAGCCGAGCAGCCGAGGAAGCTCCACACAGCTCGCAGAAACCCAGAAAGGCTGCGCACATCCACTGTTTGCAAAGACATTGATGGCAGAGACAAGAAGATGATAGACCTACCCCTTTCCTGCAGAGGCTTCCCGTTCCAACCTGCAGGAAAAAACTTCGAGCACTTGTATGAGCGACAGTGGGTGTCTGCGATGTGTTGTTCTGAAGCCACGATCTAAAGGCCTAAAGGGGTCTGTGACCCTTGAAACTGAGGTGCTTCAGGGTTTGAGACTAGTTTAAGAATACCTCGACGGTCGAGGTCATGCATGGAACTCATCTCTGTTTGCTTCGCCACCGGGATCATAATGTCACGAAAGATCCTCGTGAGGGAGCGATGTTCAGTACTCCTTACAGTCGTCGTTTCCGGATGGGCTGGGCTCAGGCTTGGTGTCCACTGGGTCGTTCTAGGGTCCTTGTTGGGAATTTTACTGTCGAGGTTCTTGGACTCACTACCGGGGTGGTTATGATATGTTATGCTGCTGCTGCCGCTTGCTGTTGGGGTCTTCTTGGGTGAAAAATGTCGGGCGGGTCTTCTCGCAGCTGCATGTCTCATGGACTTGACTCGCGACCGAAGTGTGATGGTCTACCAACATCTTGGTGAGTTTGTTTTGGATTCTCAGGCACTGTTACCAAAGCATTAGAGAGAAGCGTCGGACGGAAACCGGTCACTCCAAGTTGAGGTACTGGTAACTCCGAACGACAGGCGCACGCGAGCGCTCGAAATTGACGGCCCTTCTCCCATCCTTTCCTCAGCCGTCGGCAATCCAACGAACTCCCGGCACACAAGAATAGAGCTTTCTCCCCAGCTCGTGACTCTCCAGTTGCACATGTTGATGCAAAGTAGGCCCTCGGCATCCCTAGGCTATAAACCGGATGAGCAAGTGTGCTGACAAAAATCCTGCAAGTGAGGGAATGCGAGAAGTACTGTGATGCAAAAGCTTGCCGTGTGTTGGTCGTCCTAGCAGCCCTACCAGATGCTTCCTGGCATACATGTTGGTAAGTTAAGATATGCATCGCCTGCGCAGCCAATGCAACATGGGTTATACAAACTTTTTTTGCCTGCTTCGCTGCACCACCTAGCAGCTCTAGCACGTGCTGCAGGTGCGATAGGCCGGTAGGCCACCGTCGCAGTCCGCCATATGACTGCTGAAAAGCATTCCACGGTGAGGGAAAACGTATTGTGCGAACAAGGTCTCGCAGGGCTCGATGTCTTCCGGATTGCGTTGCCGAGGTGCCACTGTTGGTGGCTGCGCTGACAGCTTCTTTGCTGGCAGTCTTTCGGAGTGCGAAAAGATGGCATACCTCATCGACACCGGAGGTTTGCGTGGATCTTTTGTGTGGTTTCGACGCTTTCCCGGCCCCGCTTTGAATCGAGTATGCAGGACGTGACGGCAGAGTGCGTCCAGGCTACGGGCTCTGCTTCAGCCTCAGATGACCGTTTAAGTCAGACTCATCTTGAGGCCGACGAAGCCAAGGAGAAGGCAGAAAAGGAAGATGAGGCGCATGGAAATTCGGCCTTCGCCTGGCCGGCTGAAGCTTGGTGTGTCTCTTTGAGCACATGGAGTCCTGCAGGAAGATGTTGACCCAATCTGGATGGCGGATTGGACAAATCGCGAGGAGCTTCTCAAGCTATTTTGCAAACGAATGTTAAAGGAAAGCCTCGCTCTGTCGCCACAAATCGCATCGCCCGAGAGGGCAAGCACAGATGCCTCGCACATCCTCGCTGCAAGAGCACTTCGAACTGCTGGGCTGAAGTGCTGAAGTCCAGATTTCGTGTGAATCCGCAAGTCTCCACCAGGAGAGGGAAGAGGTGGCAAGAAAGCTTCAAGAAGCAGAACCTCCTCGCAAGGCCGAGGCAGGCACTGCAAGTTTGGCGTGCATCGAGCAAAGGGTAACGTCAGCTCAGCCTGTGCTTAGGTGTTCGACCTCAATGATACGCCAACATGGCTAGCGCAGATGCAGAAACGCCGCGAGCAAGCGCAGCGAGCTGGAAAAGATAAGTCAGCCCGTCATGCTTTGAGCCAAATCCGCTCCCGGTTTTGCCTCGCCCGAGTCCAGGCTGGTGCAGAAGCTCGATAAAGAGATCGACCAAGCGCTGAGCAAGTCGCTCACAGCCAAAGGCCACGCGCCGCTTCTCTGTCTCTGCGCGACCCTTCCCTTCCCACCTTCCCCTGAGCAGCGGTTGGTGTTTCTGAGGTTTTGTAATACATTCAAAGCGCACGTTGAGAAAACATGTGATAGCATGGGTGGGGATTGGTCATCTAAACCTCTGCCAACTACTGTATTGCGCCTGTTAAGTTTCTATATGTTCAGCCCAGGCCATGTGCAGGGGATTGAAGGTGCTCTGCAGTGATGTCAGCGCAGCGGACATGCAGAACCTTTATCAAGCTGTCGTTCTAGCCATTTCTCGTACGTTTTCTGTGCATCACTGAGAGATCTTTACACGTTTCGCTGCAGGCCCCGAACTTCGTGCAGGCCGTGAGGCAGAGGCGCCTCAGCATGGGCTTGGCGCTTGGCGGGACTTCTGGTGCAGCCCAGGAAATGCACCACGAGGAGGACGTTTGGAGCATGGACTGGTCCAGTTGGAGATCCTTTGAGTCTGCACTGCCAGCAGTTGCAGCTGCGTGACTAAGCAAAAAGGGCGGCCTAAGAGCGCTCGCCTCGGCGCAGAGGCGGTGCTATGCGACGCCGGCGCGTCTCGCAAGTCATGTGTACCCGATGTGCCCTAAACCCCTCTCGACTTACATCACAGTGCCGGAGCCAGGCCCTTTTTGGCAGATTCGTAGAACCGGACTCCGGCTGCTTTTAAAAAATGCATCCAGGGACGCGCTTTTTACCATACTTTGGGGCCTTTTTTGGTCAATAAATATCGCTGGCCTGCTCGCATCTCTGCTCGGACTCATCCAATAGCTTCAGATGTATGTGCTACTTAGCTTCCGGGGCAGCTTCCCTGCGAGGGAGGAGATGAATATCCCGTGATTTGGACACCTGTGTCTTCGTGCTTCTGCGAGAGATCGCCGAATGCTGACTGTCGAAGAAGCCGCTTGCAGGGTGCCCTTGAGCACTTGATGCAGGCTTTGCTTGATTTTCTGAAATTAGCTGCAGGCATTTCCTGAAAGACCGCTGCCAGGCGAAAACGTTGGACATTGTTGGATGTTCGCTTGTTTGCAACATCCGCGTCGTTTCCCGCGATTCTAACATAAACCATAGCACTGATCCGTCGCACCCCGTGCAGTCGCTGCAGCTTTTAGTGCATTCTGTTGGCTTACTTGGCGGTCGGACCTGTTCTTCATTCTGATGGAGACAGGCCTGTTTGTTCATGCTTGACCTTCCATCCGTTGGGGAGTGATCGGGGTAGAGGCTGCACAGCTTATGTAGGGGCGGCTTTTCTACCAGAAGATGCTTGTGCACGCTAGTGCCGAGACGGCTGTGTTTGTATGTCAAGTCTCATCGACCTTGGGCGCAGTTCGCGGAGTTCTTGCCGGACTGCCGCCGCTGGAGCTGGAGCCTCAGCTGACGGATCTTCGGCTGAGCCCTACGTCGCTGCGAGGGCTGAGCCTTTTGCGAGAGTGATTTGGAAGCACGCAGAGAGACCAGCAGCAGACAAGAATGAGGCTCCCTCCCGTTTTGAAGTCCGAATTCATGCCTCAGTGACAAAGACCTTGAGGCGAACTCCAGTAAAAGCCACAGCCCTGTCCCAAGCCCCGCATGACCAAGAGCAGCACAGAGCCAAGCAGTGGTAAGATGCAAGGCAATGACAAACAGAGTAGGCGGAAGCTTTCCAGTTGGAGTCCGACATGGAAGTGTACGCATCCAATAAACTGGCGACCACGTGTCGAGACAGTGCCATTGAATCGCAAACTTGTGCAGAAAGCACGTTCGCAAAACATTGAATGTGTTTCAGGCTGGAGGAGCTTGGGGATGCTTCGTCGCTTGCTCCACAGCCAGGACTGACCCCATCCTCTGGTCCTAAAGCAGCTGTCAAGCACTCTCGTCAGAAGCGCCTTCGCCAGCTGGTTCGGTCTACACGCTGGGCTCGGAGATGCTCGCATGATCCCACCCGATATAGGTTGCCTGGCTATCTGAGGCCGGTAAATGCTCCGTCGACCTATTGGCGGACCACCATCTGTGCGAAGCTTTGATTCGTGTAAGAAGGGGCGCGAGGATAGGACTGTTGCGGGAGGCCGTGCACTCCTCCTGCCTAGGCCCCTCTGCGCCCCACAAGAGGCACCCACCAAGGCCGTGGGAGCCTTGCGGAGCTTTGAGTGCTAGGTGGAGGCGGAGGTTTCGAATCGCTCAGGTCGAGTGCCGAGTCGACACCAAGGCGCCCAGCCGCGGGCCGCCGCTTTGCATTCGCTGGGATTAGCTGGGTCAGTGGCTGTTGATCCTGCACTTTGTTTTCTGCAGCTGTGTAGATCCTGTCCGACACCGACTCTATCGTGGCCATCTGCCCCAAGTCCGTCTTGGCCTCAGACTCCGGGTATCGGCTGAGCAGGCGAAGCACGTGCAAGGCGAGTTCTTTAGTTGAAGTGTTTCACATCACATTGTTGCACGATTTTCTCACAGTCGTCGTCGTCATCGAGAGGATACTAACCTTATGAGGCTGGGCGCAGCCATTCCCACGTTTGTCAGCGTCTCGCCGCCTCATCATGAGGCAATCTCCATTATAATTGGCGGATTTCCGAAGGAAACACCAGCATGCGGCACATCAAACCATTGCAAGCAGATTGCAAGCTTGCTATTCTTGCTGCGGTAGGATTCATGCGGCCATGACAGTTGAGTAACAGTTCCCCCTGCGCGACATATGATGCCGCACTGGGATGCGGTCTGGAGCGGGCCTGCATGATGGGGAACAGTTGAAATTTCAAACGCCTTCCAACTAGATAAAATACTATGACTGTCCACATTTTTGGTCAAATGCATCCTCTGCGCCTTCTTGCTTCTCTCGACTGTATTGCAGTAGGGCACAGAGCGCATTTCTCGCTTGAACCTCGTGTTTCCCTGCAGAGCATGGCAGGGCGCTCACAGATTAAACTGCTATAGACCCTGCGATTGCTGCTTCCGTGCCTGAAGAAGTGGACATATCTTGCCATAGCAGCCGCGAGATCAGTCAAGGAAAGGATTGATCAAGATGCAAGGCTTCTGAAACCATCTGCAACCTATCACCCCTGCATCTTCAGGAGGGACGGGCCTGCTCGAAGCCGTAGCTGCATCTCAGGACGCAGAACTATTTGGGCGCCTTCGGGCTGCCAAGTCCAATGGAGCGGGATCCTCTGTGTTGTCTGCTCGTGAAGCACGCTTCATTCAGTCTGCCAGTGCCGAGGAAGAACAGCACTCTGAGCTCTGCTTTCCCGCAGGCCTTTGTTCCAAGGACCGCAGTAATCGGACGCCCTCGTTGGTAGCACAGAGATGCGCAGAGATCCGCAGAGAGCACAAGTAGAAGAGCATGCTGCTTGAGGCCGTGCCTACAATCGTCTACAAGCTTCGTCAGCGTGCCACGCTTTGCATGTGCATCTCCACTATAGGCTCAAGGCAGATGGAACCCTCCGGGTCAAAGAGTGGGAACCGCGAGCCTCGCGAAGCCTTTGAAAGGATGGAGGTTCTGGGATCCTTGGAGGCCTTGGAGGCCCTGATCTTCTCGGAGTGCTCGGAGCGACAGACACGGCTGCAAAGAGCTTCGGAGCAGCTCCGACACCTGCGGCGCCTGGAGCGCGTAGCCTTGGCCGGTGCTGATGTCCGGCGCTTGGCGCAGCTCCGTCAGCTTCAGCAGGAACTCCTAGAATTTGCCGATCTTCGATCTTTGCGGTCCCTACGATCTCGGTCTGGCGACCATGATGGTATCCCCTCCGAAAAAGCTGAAAAAAGTGTGCCGTCCTTACTCCGGGATGTGCGCCACTGGCACGCAGAATTGAGACGGCTAGAGCAGCTCGAAGCCTTTCAGCTTAAGTCGGAGAGCTCTTGGAGCGGACCATTGACCTTGACTGCGGAGATCTCCGTGCTTCGTCAAGTATTGGCAGAACAAGAGGAGGGCAGAAAGGCTTGCGAGGAATGCTTGCGCCTGCGACATCCAGCCAGCTCAGCGGCTTTGCCGTTGGCCGGGACACCACCAAGCACTTTGAGCGCTTGCAATGCAAGTGTGGCCGCGGGAATTCGCTTGGCGACCGGTGCTGCGCGCGCCCAGCTCCCCAAAATCCGTGCAATGTGCTCCCAGTCCCCTTGCCATGGAGGGTTTGGCAGACGTTGTGTAAGCCTGCTGCAATTGCAGGACAGTGCTTCGGCGAGCATGCACATTGCCCACTGCACCGGAACACATCTTGGAACCCGAAGAGGCACGTGCACCTGTCTGCTTCATAGGCCCATGTTACACTTGTGCCCAGGAGCTCGTCCCTAATTTGCCACTGGACCGAACGATCTCGGAGCCTCATAATTTGGCCGCTGCCTTGGCCATCACAGCGGGCGCAAGCCTTCGTCTGAATAGACTCGAGGAGCGTGTACTATTGGATGCTCCAGACACGCCGCACAGGGCCAAGGCGGGGTCGACGCGCAGGACGGCTCTGTGGGCACGGCCCGGCCGCGCGGCCCCCCCGTCCTCTGCAGGTCGCTGAATCAAGCGGACCCGGGCTCTCAAACACCAGCGACAGACCCAGGGCCCAGTTTTCTCTGACCGCACGCATGCGACTCTGCTCGTACCCTTGAAAGCGGCGAAGCCAAGGTCCAGACAAGCCCGAAGAGAAGAACCTCCGACGCCGGCTCCGCTTAGCCAGCGACATCGTGGCAGCTGCTTGGACAGCAACTGGCATAGGCGGCATAGATGTGACTCGCAGATCTCGATCGGTCGTCGCTGAGGAGACCGACCACGATTGTGGTACTTCCAATCGCAACGAGTGCGGGCTGCAGGTCTAGTCACTATAGTCTAATCTTGCTCCGAAGTAGAGACGGAATGCAACAGACTTATGCTGTTAACGGGCTGTGTGCAGGGGGACTACGTTGTGTCAGCTTTAAGACACTGCTTGACCTGCCGCCCCGGCGGACTGGCATGACTAGCATTGCTTGGAAATTTAATCGACGATCAGTGAAGCTGCAGCTGGCTCACGGCTCACGTACGCCAAGCAAGCACTCGATCCTGACGGCACACGACGAAAAGTTTGTGTTTGCATGCTGCAAGCGCTACATGAACTTCGTGTGTCGACGGAGATCTCTTCTTCTCAAATTGACGACAGCCTGTGTCTTTGGCTGAGGTCGTTTGCATATAGGCGCGTGCCTGTCTATTCAGCAAGGTGAGGGACACCGAGGCAGACCGCTCAAGAGAGCCTCAGGTTCATAAACAGGGTGCTAGCCTCTGTCTGGGTCCTGTGTCTGGGAATCACGGGCCGCAGAGGCAAAGCTTGATACTTTCCTAAGCGTGACTGAAGGACTAAGGAGTTGTGATAGACACGGACTGCGCCGTCAAACTGACCAATCTGACCAGTTAATGTTAATGCCACATCCAGTCACGGCTCGGTTCTCAACGTCCCGAATGACTTTTAGTGCCAATGGCAGCATCTTAGCACAAAAGCTGAGATCATGGTAGGACGCTAGGGAGATCGCTGGATTGTCTACAATGCCCACCAGGGGTGTGTCGGAAAGACGCCAGTGGACAGCTATGAACAGCTGTGACATGCCGCAACCACATGCTGAGTCGTGGATGGCACGACCCAGAGAGGTCGCTCACATCTATCCGCGAAGCGCTCGCATGTGGTAACCGTTCTGCAGTGCTGCCTTATCTAAATCAGGCAGCTCGCAAGCATGGGGATTATGCCCGAAGGCAGAATTTGTCCTGATGTGATTTGGTCATGGCATAAAACTCTCAGCACAGCCAATGAGGACTACGAAGACTCAGAGACCATGATGAGTTGTACACATTTGGGCTTCTTAGTCTGCCTTGAGCTGAGTCGCCGTTTCAGCTTGCCAGCACGGAACTTCGTTATGCAACGTTGAACGAAGGCAAGACTGCGAGCGAATTCTCTAAAAATGTATTGAGCAGTCTTTGATGATTCTGTCTGTGCTGGCTTGTTTTGATGCGACGTCTTTGTCACTGTAGCTTGCCCTACAGTGATCCCGCAGAAACTTTTGAGATGACATGGCCATCGGCCAACTGCTCTGCGAGCTGGAAAGGTGTCTCCAGCCGGAAAGCATTTCGGCGTGCAGCTCTGGAAGCCAAGCGCTTGCAGCCAAGCACTGCAGGAGTTGCTGCACCTCAGTCTCAGCCGAGCTTATCTGCCCAAGCTTCCATCGATCACATTTCTCGGTGCATGAGCTGCGTATGACTGCCAAGCTATTGTCTGAGCGCGACTAGCTTTTGTATATGTGACCTGCTGCAGAACAATATTTTCAGAGTTGCTGGGGTTTTTTGTTGCGATGCGTGATGAGCCTTTCTCTTGTGGGCCCGCGCCTTGCGCCGAAGCGCGGGCAGCGTCGGCATGCGCTGGGGATGGCCTTACACTGCACGCCATCTGAGCTATCTGTCTCTGCTCGCGAGTCAGCTCTGGCTGCGCGATGCTGGAGCTATGGATGCTCGGCATTGCGAGTCGTTTTTCGCTGCCCTTGGGGTAGTTAGCAGAAGTGTTGACGGCTGCTTGGCAACCCCTCAGACCGAAGGTGGCACGGCCAGATCTGCACAACTGGATTCCCCACATGAGACCCCGCACTCTGCACGCTGGTGACCTTCAGCAATTGATGCAGAAGTACAGAGCCCGGCCAGCAATCAGTAGTCAGTATGTTGCAAGTGCGTTGACTTGTGGGCATTGCTAAGCCGCGATGTACGAGGCCAACACCAACTGCCTTGCGTATGCCCCCAGGAGTCGTGGTTCTGATGACGAGCATTCCTCGCCGCATTGACCACATGGAGCCTGTCATTGATGCGATGCTTGCACAAAGCTGGCAGGCAGCAGACCCTCGGCTTCCGTGTTCAGCATGCTGAATAGTGCCTCCATCGTGCCTGATAGTGCCTGAATGACCTAAGCAGCTGAGGAGATCTACATGAGCATTCCCTACATTTACAACCGGACCGGGGAAACATATCACATTCCGGAATGGATGCAAGCAAAGGTGGATGCCACGCCGACCTTGCACCTCGTTCGCTGTGTTGACCTGGGTCCCGGAACCCACCTCTTGAATGGCCTCCGCATGGAAAAAGATCCCTGGACCTTCCTCGTGGTCGTGGATGACGACCATATCTACGGTGTCTGGGCTTACATCGGGCCGTGTCGTACCGTGCGCCTGGCTTGAGTGCCGCTCCGTGCATCATCGTGCATCCGTGAGCCCTGGAGGACCTGAGCTTGTGGAGCAACTGATGCGGGCGGCGCTTGGAAATCCTGGCAGCGCCGTAGCCGCGCAAGGCTTCCTCTCAGTGCCAGGGCTGCTGGAATCCCAGGAGCTCCACACCATGGAGGAGCAAGGCAGAGGGGCAGAGGAGTCGGAGAGAGTCCATTGCGGACCGACGTAGTGAGCTGCTCCCCCTCGCAGGTGGCGACCGGCCACGGTATTTGCAGGATCAGGGCTTTGCAGCAGGGCCAGTGCTGGTGAGCTACCTGGGCCTCTCGGCCGAAGAGGTGCCAGGTGCAGCCATGTGCACCACCCCCTGACCGCCAGCACATGTGCCAGCTGGCACGGTATTTTATCCAAAAGCGCGCTTATGCAGATGCTGTATGATGCTGTTGCAGCTTTCCGAGTTTAAGGGTGCGAATCTTGCAAGTCGAAAAGCAACGAAGTTGGCGGTGACGCGCCTACGTTGCTTCGCGACAACGCTCGGTCGTCGCGGAAGGAAGGAAGGAAGGCAGGCATACAGGAAGGAAGGAAGGACCGTAAGGATCGTGAGGAAGGAAGGAAGTCGGCAAGGAAAGAAGGAAAGCAAGAAAGTAAGTAGGTGGGTAGGTAGGTCGGTCGGTTGGCGTCGTGGTAGGTACAAGTAGCAGGTAGTAGGTAGCAGGAAGTAGGTAGTAGATAGTAGGTCCAGTAGGTAGTAAAGTAGTTAGTGGGGGTCGTAGGTCGTAGGTAGTAGGTAGCAAGCAGTAGGCAGGAGGTAGTAGGAGGAGCAGCAGCAGCAGCAGCAGCAGCAGCAGCAGCGGCGGGAGGAGGAGGAGGAGGAGGAGGAGGAGGAGGAGGAGGAGTAGTAGTAGTAGTAGTAGCAGCAGCAGCAGTAAAAGCAGTACCAGCAGCCACGGACGGGCAGTGGTTGACTAAACCCAAGACTTCAAGACGAAGCTAGGACAGCTAGGAGAAGCTAGGCTCGTCTGCAGAACGATGACTGTGCAGAAGCCGCGGTGGTGGAAATGCTCTCTTCTTCACTTCACGAGTGTTCGAACCATTGTGGCCACTTGGTATGGTACGAGTCTCGTGTGTTGCTGCAGGTGTGGTGTATCAGCGCGGTTTCTTCGATGACACTGTGTATTTCTACAACAGCGACTGTCAGCAATGCCGCTACCAGGTTCAAAGATTAGACAGCCAGATACAATCTCAGCCCCGAAGCTGCGTGAGGACGACATGTGGTTCTCGGCGCATCTCGCGCAGAAGGGCATCCGCCGACTTGTACTTGGTGCAGCGCTGGGTGTTCAGGAGAGCGGGTTCACATGTGCTGCAAGCTGCGACTCACGAGTGAACATAAAACCTGGAAGCTGCAGGAGCTGACCGAGTTTCATCTCGGACCGGAGCTCACTACCTAGAGATGTTTTTGCCCAGTTCAGGGGTCTGCCTCAGACTTTGCTCGTAATTTCTGACGGAGGTCTCTGACATTCTGGGAGGAGAACAAGCCTCGGCAGATCAGCAGCTGTCTCACGGATGCTTGCACTATTATCTGACTTCTTTCGAGCATAGGCAAGTTCCTGAGGTGATGATTGCAACAAGGGCTTGCTGTCCCATCCTGAGACACGTCGCATGCGTTCTAGGTAAATGCCGATGTCAAGGTCGTTGGGGGGTTCAGATTCAGGGCGCTGATTAACAATCGGCAGTGGCTGGACTAACTAGCATTTGTGGTTTTACAAGGCCGGGCGAGGCTGTGAACCCAAACCCTGGTGTGCCATGCTGCATCGGCTACTGCATCTTTTTGTGACACTTCGGAGTCTCTTGGATGTTGATTTTGTCTGTCTTCAGGTGCTGCTCGGTCCTGCGAGTGGCGGCGTCGTGGGATGAGAGTTGTCGAGTCATCGTCTCTCATGTTTGACTTGTCCGATGCTTGTTTTCGCTCACGGCAGACGCCTTGCCCGGCTTGTCCAGGCTCGCTCTCACGAGGAGTCTTCAAATTTAAGTTATCCAGTCATTTGCATTCCTTCTTCATTGCGGTACTCCAGTTATTTTTCGCATTCGCAAGTCGTCCTGAGTTCATTCAGTCTGTATGATGCGCGGATTGAGCTCGCCATCTTGGACTAGTGGCTGGAGTTTGTTTCGTCACGAGGAGGCCATAGTGCCTTCCGCTATCAGCATTTGAGGCACTTGGGCTTCAAACTGTCTGTGGCCCAAGGCGTGCCAACAGCCACATTTGGGCTTTGCGTCGGCGAGTTGTCCTTGCCCTTGGTGGCCTCCCGTCTGCCACCCAGTGTCGAGACGTAAGGGCAGTTGAAGATCAATCGCGAGGGGGAGGAGGACGGAGGGAGAAGTTCGGAGAGGTTAAGGTTTATGTAGGGCTTGGGATGGTTGAGGGTGCCTTGTGCCGGAAGGCTTCCCGGTAAGCCAAATGGGTTTAGGATATCGGAGCTGCATGTGGAATCTGCGGTGGGGGGTGGGCCGGCGGTCGGGGGGGCGGGGGGGGGGCGGGGGGGCGCGGAGCGGGTGATGACGACATGGTGAGGACTGCATGGTGATGACCTGTGATGACGATATGACGACGACATGCGCACTCGGAAACAAAGCTGAGACGTCTCACTGCTGTGAGACCTGCACTTTCGAGAATCCCGAAGCCTGGGATTTGCGGCCTGCTCATGGGGTTTTGGATCGCCGGCTTGCACGGGGCCTTGCACTGCTCATACCGTCCGAGGTCCCTAAAACGCATGGACAACTGCAGACTCCCAAACCAAAAACCCAAAACTCTAAACCGACACACCGCCAAGAAACTGCGACTATCTTGATTGTGCGTTTTTTTGTCGAGGTGTACCACCTGCTGCGAATACCAGTGAATTCGCTCCCCTGATGGAAATCAATCCCCCCTCAACCACAGGGCTGCGTGATGCACTAAACAAATAAAGTACTACTCCACACTCGCATAAGACACTGTACTTGCAAGCTCGAAGAACGCGCACAGGCAACGCGTTCTCTGCAATGTGAGCCTCTTTTGTAAGCGGAAAAGGCCCGCTACTTGCGGTGCGTTCGAACTACTTCTATTGTAATTCCCCCTGGTGTCCGGGAAGCCCGCGGAAATATGCCTTGAGGCTTGCGGTCTTCTCACCCCCAAGTTGACTCCCAATATCCAGACTCGCGTAGGAGTGCGGTGTTGGAACCTTGGAAGGCGTCCTGATGCCTTAATGCCGGGGAGCTCGTAAAAAAAGCAAAAAACATCAAGCCTGCTGTTTGAGGTTCACAGTTTTTGTAGGGCTTTCAAACTGTTTCAGATTACAAAGACCCCTTCGCATGATTTGGTTTAGGCTTCGAAATCCCACGGACCTCGCGAAACACTCTGTTTGCGAAGACTACTCCCCATAAGCGTGCCGCGGATCAGCACATCGCTTGGCATCATGATGGGACTGGACCGTGGCTACCGCCACCAAACCGGATTAGTGACTGTACTCGGGAAAAGATGCGAGGAAACGACGCGATCACACCTTTCGGGACATAGGTAGCGTACAGTGCACGGGGTCACTTTTTAAACACCATTTCAGGCCGGAGGATGCAGAGCGCGAGGCAGAGTGTTTGGGTGCCCGCCAACCCATACACAACGGCCCGTGAGTCCGCTGCTCCATCCTGCTCCGACGCTATAACCCTCATTAGTGGTATTGTATGGGAGATTCTGGGAGCATGTTCTGGGATTACTTTGTGACTATTTGTCCTACATGTTTTCCACGTGTCAATTATTTGTCACTTGCTGCTTGCAGGGTTTGGCATCTGTGAAAAGTTCATGCGCGATCTGTGCATAGTTCGTTGATGTTCGTTGTCGACTTGTCAACAAACTGAAACTCATGTCTCAAACATGTACGGGAATAGCGCATGATTTGTGTGATATTTGCAGTAGTATCAGAGGGCTTCCAGTGCCATCCGACATCTCTTTTCAAGAACCTTCCTGAGCTCGACCCTTCAGGCCCGGACCACGGCAGAGCCATGCGCCACGTGGC